GGTATATGCAATGGACATAAAAAATTCTTGTTAATGAAGTACAGTATCATTATGTCTCATTGTGAAATTATTGGCTCGTACAAGGTCTTTGTGAACACTTTTGATAAACAGTTCGATAAATCAGCCTCACATGAAAACAAAAACATGTCAGCTAAATTCTGAAACGAGATAAAAAAAGTAAAATTTAATACAGAGTATACAGCACCTCTTGTTGTTTTGGATTGTGTCCCCTTGGGATCAGCCGACATCCGCTATTCTAAGGTTTTTGGGATTGTTTGACCTTGGTGAAACCATTCACAAAATTCCCACCATGTTTGCTAATGCAATGACACAAAGCATTTTTATTACTCAAGATATTTCTTCTTTCATTATTCACAAGTTAAAAGTTTCGGGAAGTTAATCACTATTAAGTGTAAATGGTCACGTATTGCTACTCACACAAAGCAATTAATATATTTAATTATACATTCAAAGAAAATTAATTTCCTGTATTATGATATGATGCCAAATGTTATGCCATGTTTCTATTTCAAGTTGAACACCTAATAGTTTCGCTCGCGTGTAATCTAAAAGTACTCGGTGGTACTATTCCACTCCGCTATAACCGTAATCATATTGGCCCAAGATCAGTTTCTAATCTGCCACAAAGTTAGTGTCATAACTTGGAAAGGAACATCATCTTTGATTAAATGTTGTAATGACCTAATGCCAGTCGGAGCTGATGGGGGGATTTGCACATTCTAACTCTATAACCTCACTTAAGTGTATTTTAAACACAAAATGAAATTACTGGATCCTTACCAATCTGTAATGTAATGTCTTTTGCCTTTAGCAGAAACAATTGCTTTTCGAAGAAGTGAATTCTCGTTCTAACGACTTTTTAAGTTTTCTACATGGGAAGATGTAGAAGTTCTAATTCCGAAACCATATGGTTTAATTTTAACTGTCAACTCTCCGGTCATTAAGTTTAAAATATTTTCAACAATTTCAACTTTAAGACCCAAATAGTATTATGACAACACATTACCATCAATTTTCGACCTCATATATGTTCATTAGCGTTCAAAGTTGAAATTAAGTGACTAGAATTTTACGTAATTTAACACGTATGTATGGCTGGTAATCTCGACGGCCGAACGGAAAGACGAACGTCTATAGAGAATTTATAGCTAGGTGTATCACTACCCATTAAATCTTTGTACGGTATTTTCACTTGGTTTCAAAGTACACTAAGTCACAGAGGTACGCAGTGAGTACTGAATTTATGGTATGTTGATAGAGTCCTCATACATTTACGTTGAGAGTAGTCTCGACAGAAAGACGATCCTATTTCCTGTACCCTGTCCATAAATATAGTCCGAAACACCATCGTTTATTGAAATCATAAAACTAACTGTGCTATATCATTTATTTATGAGTATAAAAAAAACACAATCGGCAGATACAATGTAGTTCATTTATGATATCGGTAATTATGACGATAATTACTGTAATGATGATAATCGAAGGACCCATTCTGACGGAATTCTTACTTTACATTCATTTATAGTATCGGTAATTATTTACATAACTAATCAGGATGATTACAAGAAATATGTCATATTGAAGATAGTATGACAATATGGCTCATTCTCATGATACAAGACACATGCTCAAATATACTTATAGTGTCCTGGCTCAAATACTTTTAATGATAGCTGTAATATCTTAATTGATATTATTTTCAAAGTTTAAAGTTTACTTTTAAATTGCTATTTCTTGATTTAAGCGAGACTTAGGAGAATTTGGTTTAGCACAGATCTGATGCTTGAGAATGAGCTTGTTTCATACATACTGGTCCAATCTGGTAGCTATTTTCAAGGATGACCGTGGTAATGTTTCTTTTGTTCATATATCTCTAGGTTTTGAGTTTGATTGACTTTATTCACATGTTAGTATTTCTGTTTTGCAGAAACATGAATCACAAAACCTAATGATATTTTCTGTCTTTAATAGATTCATTTACATTTTCATGTAAAAGGAATGATAATAATTTCACGGTTCATATACATCGCTACCCACTCAGATAAATGTGTGTACAATTCACCAACAATCAGCATGTAAGGTGTTAATTCGTCCTCCCACCTATTAATAAAATCATCAACCTGTATACAGAGGTCAGTTTGTAAGGTGGTGATTCGTCCTCCTACCTATTGATAGAGTCATCAACCTGTATACAGTAGTCAGTATGTAAGGTGGTAATTCGTCCTCCCACCTATTGATAAAGTCATCAACCTGTATACAGAGGTCAGTATGTAAGGTGGTAATCCGTCCTCCTACCTATTGATAAAGTCATCAACCTGTATACAGTGTTCAGTATATAAGGTGGTAACTCGTCCTCCCACCTATTGATAAAGTCATCAACCTGTATACCAGTAGTCAGTATGTAAGATGGTAATTCGTCCTCCCACCTATTGATAAAGTTATCAACCTGTATACCAGTAGTCAGTATGTAAGGTGGTAATTCGTCCTCCCACCTATTGATAAAGTCATCAACCTGTATACAGAGGTCAGTATGTAAGGTGGTAATTCGTCCTCCCACCTATTGATAAAGTCATCAACCTGTATACAGTAGTCAGTATGTAAGGTGGTTATTCGTCCTACCACCTATCGAAAAAGCCATCAACCTGTATACAGAGGTCAGTATGTAAGGTGGTAATTCGTCCTCCCACCTATTAATAAAGTCATCAGCCTGTATACCAGTAGTCAGTATGTAAGGTGGTAACTTGTTCTCCCACCTATTGATAAAGTCATGAACCTGTATACAGAGGTCAGTATGTAAGGTGGTAATTCGTCCTCTCACCTATTGATAAAGTCATGAACCTGTATACAGTGGTCAGTATGTAAGGTGGTAATTCGTCCTCCCACCCATTGATAGAGTCATCAACCTGTATACAGAGGTCAGTATGTAAGGTGGTAATTCGTCCTCCCACCTATTGATAAAGTCATCAACCTGTATACCAGTAGTCAGTATGTAAGGTGGTAACTTGTTCTCCCACCTATTGATAAAGTCATGAACCTGTATACAGCGGTCAGTATGTAAGGTGTTAATTCGTCCTACCACCTATTGATAAAGTCATCAACCTGTATACCAGTAGTCAGTATGTAAGGTGGTAATTCGTCCTTCCACCTATTGATAAAGTCATCAACCTGTATACCAGTAGTCAGTATGTAAGGTGGTAATTCGTCCTCCCACCTATTGATAAAGTCATCAACCTGTATACAGAGGTCAGTATGTAAGGTGGTAACTTGTTATCCCACCTATTGATAAGTCATGAACCTGTATACAGCGGTCAGTATGTAAGGTGGTAATTCGTCCTCCCACCTATTGATAAAGTCATCAACCTGTATACCAGTAGTCAGTATGTAAGGTGGTAACTTGTTCACCCACCTATTGATAAAGTGAAAAATATACACTACATTATTGTCGCTGAAACATGTTTTTAGGCTAAACGTACTTAGTACGCATAGCCTATTGCGACGGCCTTTCAAACAAAATTTACCGATCCTGGCCTTCTCATTGGCTGAAATATCGAAAAGAGTTAGAGCCCTCTAGCGGCAATTTTCTGCGTAAATAATGCCGTGATTTTTCAAATCGCTATCTTAAAAGCATCCAAAATTAGTTTATGTTTTTAATAACAATACGATTACTATATTTTCTCATTAGAAGCGTAAATGAAACGCGGAGCTCTATAAGTACGATATAAGCCTGAACTCTGGATAAAACAACTACCTTAGAATAAGCATAGAAAACAAGAAAAATGACCGTAATTAGTAATCCCATGTAGTATGCAACATAAAGGGTAAAATTTAGGTGTTATTGTATACCGTGTATTTTATTCAAAACACCAATAAGTTTCTTAATATATTTTGGAATATTATAATTATTTTTTTTAAACCCGCTGGGATACACATTAAAAAATGTCGTTGATTTTGCAGCGAAATCGAAGTTTATAGTAAAAAAACCTGTATCAAAGCCATGATTTGTTTGGCAGTGTTAAAACAGATAACATTAATTTGAAACACCGGGATATCATTTCACGTAAAAACAATATCAAAATAAACAAGACTGTTTGGTGATTTAAAATCTGCATTAATGGCACTGAAAAGTATATAAAACAAAACTATGAGATATTAAGCATCATACTTTGTGTATCATTAATAATGATCGGAACAACATACTTCATTTCTTTTCATGAAACTTATTTAAACTAAAAGTTTTGAATCATTAAGTTGTGATTTTTTGCGAGTTTAAAGCAATAAATCTATTTCTGTTTCATTCCTTTTTAACTCATATTAAGTGTTGCTTTTTTTGCATAAAGACATTAAACCTTTAATGAATACCATAAATATCCTAAAACTGCCTACACACTCAGTGAAATCTTTACAAATTTATGCCAGATAATTAAAAAGTTGGTGTAACTGGTATTTCTTTCTCAAAATCAAAAACTATTTTGGAATGAAAATTAATAAAAATAATGTTAATTAAATGTCTGGGAAAACAACTCGACAAACATTATAAAATACAAGTACATAAAACACAAAGTCATTAATTTCATATGTTTTATAAAAAAACTATTCCTTAATTGTATCATATTGTTACTGGTGATCGTCTTCATATTGCAGCATGTTTCCGTCTGGTTGTGATAATGTACACCGGTATTGTTATGTTAATCTCCATTAATATCACTATCTTTAAGGCATCAGCATGCAGAAGAAATGAAATGAATAATTATAAACGAGCATCTGTAAAGAACTATATCTCACTTAATTAATCAAAAATATAAATAAAGATGGTATTGGTTTGTGTGTCTTTTGTCATTTGTTTTTTTCTATCACGAGTATAGCGTTATATATTACTGATATACTGTCTATTATGCACACCAAAAACAAATACTATATATTACGATTTTGGTATTGAGCTGTTATAAATTCTCAGGCTACACATGAATTACTCGAAACTACTCTGTCAGCCATGGTTTGATGAATTTTTCAAACACCATCCGGTTCTTTATCCAGTTTGTGTGTTGTACACCAGGTACGATGTAGGTATAGATGTCCCCACGTGCATCCAACGTCTTCAATCCGAACGAATCTTGCTCATAAAACTGGAAAAGTATACACAGGATAATTGCATATATTACAAAATCATAACTAAAGGAAATTAAAAATATAATTAATAATAATAGAAATAATAATAAATAACTATTGTACATGTAAGAGAACAGCTGAACATTATATATGCACCAAACCTGAAATAGATACCTCATGTTGATGCACTATGTTTCGCCATTTAACGGTGGATAGTGAAATGTTATTGAACAGATTTTCTCTCTGCACCTGAAATCCTATACACTGTCAGATTTATTTATTAGTGTTGTTGATGTAGAGTTTAAAACTCAACCGAAAGTTTATTGATGTGTCATCCTTTGTAAATCATGAAAGGGTTGTTTCCAATTGGGTGAGAACATGTTGTGCATATGTAATGTTATGAATGGATTTGTATGTAATGTGTTTTATATATGTTCAGGTATTTTCTATTGTGTATCAATGCTATGCGACTTATACTAAACAGTGTTTCAGGATAAAATACAGTGTCAGTGTAAGGATAAAGTTTGAATAAGTGTCAGCAAAACAGGAGCATCATTCATCAAAATAAAAACAAAATTTTAATATACAGCTTACTCTACATCAAATCATTTTTGAGGGAACACCCAGCGTTTGATTTTGTTTATATATAGATATGTTTCATTCTATCATATCAGTTTTTCTGAAAACTAAACTTGATTTTTCTGTAAACATTATAATTAAAACTCAAGATAAAGTCGATATCCAAATCACCAAGACCACTTATGCGAGATGAAGGAGTTGTCTCCCTTTATCTTCTCTAGAAACGATACGCAAATATTTTGAGAGACATGTTATTGATAGATAAATTCACGAGTTTCATTATCTACAAAAAAATTCTTAAATTTCTTAAAATCTTAATACAGTGACGGATCTTTTCATTAACATTACAAACCTTCTGTTCCTCACAGTGGTACTACTGTGATGTTGTATTATTTACACCACAAACCTTCTGTTCCTAAATTTTACACAAAGTTTCTTACGTCTACAAAAAAAATCTTAAATTTCTTAAAATCTTAATACAGTGACGGATCTTTTCATTAACATTACAAACCTTCTGTTCCTCACAGTGGTACTACTGTGACGTTGTATTATTTACATTACAAACCTTCTGTTCCTCACAGTGGTACTACTGTGACGTTGTATTATTTACATTACAAACCTTCTGTTCCTCACAGTGGTACTACTGTGACGTTGTATTATTTACATTACAAACCTTCTGTTCCTCACAGTGGTACTACTGTGATGTTGTATTATTTACATTACAAACCTTCTGCTCCTCACAATGGTACTACTGTGACGTTGTATTATTTACATTACAAACCTTCTGTTCCTCACAATGGTACTACTGTGACGTTGTATTATTTACACCACAAACCTTCTGTTCCTCACAGTGGTACTACTGTGACGTGTATTATTTACATTACAAACCTTCTGTTCCTCACAGTGGTACTACTGTGACGTTGTATTATTTACATTACAAACCTTCTGTTCCTCACAGTGGTACTACTGTGACGTTGTAATATTTACATTACAAACCTTCTGTTCCTCACAGTGGTACTACTGTGATGTTGTATTATTTACACCACAAACCTTCTGTTCCTCACAGTGGTACTACTGTGACGTTGTATTATTTACACCACAAACCTTCTGTTCCTCACAGTGGTACTACTGTGACGTTGTATTATTTACATTACAAACCTTCTGTTCCTCACAGTGGTACTACTGTGACGTTGTATTATTTACATTACAAACCTTCTGTTCCTCACAGTGGTACTACAGGAGCTATGTCCCTGTACCTTGTGATATAGAACCATACTTAGCATTACATACCCTTTGTTTTTCCATTGGCACTACTGTATCATTAGCGTCGTAAAATCCAAAGTGGCTGTGGAAACAAAAGGATCATCATTGTTAATATAATGATTGATCCAGTACATGTCGTTTAATTGATTGAATTACATTATTCAATCTTTCGTCCCTCTGGAAATTGCTAGTTATGTTAGAAGCGAGGAGCTACATATCGGAAACATAGTCAACAACTCCATAATTAAGCATAATTCTTTATAAATGATTATGAAAACGACACAATAAAATGGTAGGGATGATAAATTTAAAATTCAAGATAGCTTATATGCACAGTCAACATGGTGTTTATAAGACGACTATGCTGAAGATGTCAAATTAAGTTCACTTAGCATGTATTACATGTGTGCGTGCGTGTGTGTGTGTGTGTGTGTGTGTGGTGTGTGTGTGTGTGTGTGTGTTATTATTATTTTCGAAACGTTTCCAAATTAATTGAATGAGTTTGTTTGGTTTTTGAAGAGAAAATACTTAATTAAGTAGATTTTCATTTCATTTCTAAGTAACAGTTTTCATTGTAAAAGACATGGACTACAGATTCATTGAGCCAGTGTGACCAGCATGTTTATCCATTTAATTTAAAATATAACAAATATGTTATTGATATAATGTTACTCCCTACATGGATGTTAAGATTAGTATAGAAGGTATTATTGTATTTATGAGATCTATAGATAAGTTCGTAGTAAATACCTTGACTGCCATGGAGTGATGACACCATCGTCAGGACCGCCAATCATTATCAGCTTCTTTAACCGTAGGAAATTGTCTTTATACACTGTTCAAGAGAGAAAACATGTATAATCTACACGTAACTTATAATATATACGAAATCACTATTACCGGAATCGCCGTAAGTCAATTTCAAACTGCCACAGCATAGCCCAAGTGTTTTAATTACCGTATTTAATTAGTATTATGATTGCGACTTGTAAATAAACAATGCGCAGTGGAACGGGATCAAATTCACCTATATTAATTGTCCTAGTAATGGCTTCATTCTGTAGTTAGACTTTAGACATAGAATATAAAAAATGTCGTCACGCAACACGTAATACAAAACTATGTAAGGCGATACCATTACATCATATAAACCAGCTAACTTAAGAGAAAATAGTTTTGTTTCGAGATACACACGAGTTAGCTCCCTTGTATCACTATCTGTACGTACTTGTTGCATTAGGCGTGGCGGTGTCGTTGTCCAACGCTGCTAGGAACTTGTTATGTTGCTTGTAAAGTGTCTCCTGGTGTGGATCTACATGTGATAATGTGATAATGGGTCTGTTCATTAAGACCTAAAGCATGCCATGATTAATTGATAATAACAGATTAAATAATTCATTGAAGAAACGAATTCGAAATCAGCAAATTTAGTGATAACTGCAAATATATGTATAAGCTTCCTTGTTGATAATGATTTAACATGTACTTATTGTACACTCCTGTCAGTTTACTTCTCGGGGAAGTCGGCGGGGAATTTTAGTTCCTTTTTAATAAACCAACATTTGAAACTCTGATGATACATTACTCGAGGGAAAATAGATAAAATGTACGATTATTTGAACCCCTCAGTTGAAACACAAACGTATAAGAATACTGAAGATTATGTATTCAACAAAATCCTAATACATTACCATGCCAGTAATTGGCAATAGACCACTGCTGTCCCGCTTGCGTGTAGAAAAATCTGTTTTATTTAAATCAATAAACAACATCATATCAACGCCAATACGATTTTTTGCTTTCTTTCCTTTTTAAAAAATTGTGATCAAGAACCTTCTGTTATAGACAGACCATTTCTGTTACAATGATAACTCAAAACTGATCACAAGGATTGCCTTATGTATAGCTAAATGTAGTCAACAACAATGGACACTTCATATGATTGGAAATTATTAGTAACATGTTAACGTTCACTAGTATTTCTAGAAGTTAGTAAATGTAAAATTTCCATCTAATTCAAATACCTAACTGTCGTTTCCGACAAACACGTTCACGACATGTTTAAAAACTCGGTTCACATAAGTAAATTGTACTAACTTGTAGACGTTCTGTTTCAGGTAGTTTGGGAAAAAGTACTTCAGATACATCGTGTCTGGAAAAGTAGCCCACATGTTAGAATTTACATTGCAAGTAGTGAATAATGAGATACAATGAACATTTCATTACATCTTTCACACATTCCAATGTATGCAGTGAAGAATTACGTATAGTAATTACTAGATGCCGTCGTCTTATTACATCTGTACACACAGTAAGATTTTACTCAATTCGTCATTCAACGATATAATTTTTGGCATGGAAATCTTTTCGATTTCTTGTATACAGTATTGGTTGCTTTTACAACCAAATTGTATTGATAACTGTATTTCAGAAAACAAGAACTTGTTTTACCCATTTAATCTCAATATTGATAGGCCAGAACTTCAATGAATGTTTTGATAACAGTTCTAGTAGCTTAAAACATGACCATGATGGCATTTAGATGTGGATATACAGTTTATAAGTACTACATAGATAACTGATGATATTTTGGTAAAATACCTCCATATTGTCCTGCTTGTGGTGAACTAACGGAGATGAAGTTGTTAACGTTGTGAGGAAGAACAGAAAGTAGTCCGCGGCATATCAATCCGCCTTAGAAAGTAGCACAGGATAAATATATCATATTTAGCAATAAGTAGCTTTCATGTTTTTTTATACAAAATATTAATTTGTATTCTGAATATTATTTTGCATTATCTAATTTTAATATCTCAATTATACCTTTGCTAGTGAAACATTCACATACACATGGAGATATGTAGACTTAAGACATCGTTTATTTCTCTAAATGTTCATAGAACAACTATGTAGTTTACGTTTGCATCTACTTGAGATAATTTTCGTTTGATTTAGCTTTACATGTCATAAAAGTGTATATACTAGACAAGATATAAAGAAGAAAAAAAAAACCTTGTGAGAAACAAATGAGGTTAACTCCATCTGGGCTATTTACAAGGCTGTCCCTGACCATTTCCTTTATGGTGTTAATCTGTGTCCACATGGGCACCACGCTTTGTAGATGGTTAAAGGCATTGATAGACGTGACGTTCGTTCCTGGGAATGCCTTTCATAAAAAAAAAAGCACATGTCACACTTCAAGATTCCTTAAGATATTGCAAGCAGACAACTTTTCTCATGAAATTGACAAGCTGGGAGTTTAGGCATGAGGACAGTGTATAACCCGTATTACTTACATGGAGAAGGAGCAGATGCATGTTCTACATATATACAAAGTATTCTTAACATACACAATACGTATTATACACCCTCTCTCTCACTCTCTCTCTCTCTCTGTCTCTCTCTCTCTCTCTCTCTCTCTCTCTCTCTCTCTCTCTCTCTCTCTCTCTCTCTCTCTCTCTCTCTCTCTCTCTCTCTCTCTCTCTCTCTCTCTCTCTCTCTCTCTCTCTCTCTCTCTCTCTCTCTCTCTCTCTCTCTCTCTCTCTCTCTCTCTCTCTCTCTCTCTCTCTCTCTCTCTCTCTCTCTCTCTCTCTCTCTCTCTCCTCTCTCTCTCTCTCTCTCTCTCTCTCTCTCTCTCTCTCTCTCTCTCTCTCTCTCTCTCTCTCTCTCTCTCTCTCTCTCTCTCTCTCTCTCTCTCTCTCTCTCCCTCTCCCCCTCTCTCTCTCTCTCTCTCTCTCTCTCTCTCTCTCTCTCTCTCTCTCTCTCTCTCTCTCTCTCTCTCTCTCTCTCTCTCTCTCTCTCTCTCTCTCTCTCTCTCTCTCTCTCAACTTGTTATAGCTACTTACATGTACGTGCAATACAATAAGTTTAAATCAAAATCATGAAAGTTCTAGACCTGATTTAGACCCTGATTAATATAACGATGAAAAGGCAGCTCGATGATTGATAAATATTTCGAATTTAATTATTTTAGGAATATAATGAAAAATATCCGAGGACATTCGTGACGTCATTAAACTTTAAAACATCGGCAGTGAATTTGTTATCTTCAACTGAGACGAATGAGAAAACAACAATTTTGCAATGGACCAATGAATCAAAGTGAAATTAGTGAGAAAAATAACAAAGTTGGTAGTGTTGATCGGTTAGGTAGTAGTACAAACAAATACATGGATGTATATATATATATGCTAATATGACCATTATTGAAATCATCAATAAAATATTGTTATTGATTTAGTATAAAGAATATTCTACATACCCTACATACTTTGTTGTCATTTCTAATAATTGTTCCGTGACCGTTGATTACAGATTCGGATTCATTCATTTTACTCAGTCACGCGTATAACGTGAAACAAGAGGTCATATTACAAAGTAACAAATGAAACATGGCTGGCACATTAAGTTTTGGCTAATTACATAGTAATACATGTATCCCTAAACACATAAGCTCGGTATTGCAGATGTTTTCATATGTCTGTTCCTGTTTAAGTTGTATGAATATGATCAGTGAATTTTAAAGATAAAAATCCACCAGGTAAGTCCGAAACACATGTTGTATCTTGTATCTTTCTTTATAGAGACTTCTATTTATGAACACAAAAATGGGCACTCAGTGCCATACAATCTGGCTTATAGATATGAGATAGCTCAGTGTTATATCGGTGACATTTATTTCCAATTGTAGTAATTAGAATGATAATAAGCGGCCACGGTAGCTCATGTGGTCAAATCATTGACTTATATAACCTCAGACGAAGTTTACGGTTTATGTCACGGAAAGCTGAGAAAATGGCCGGTCTGTGTACTGACGTGACTGTGTCTGTGACAAGACTCCGTATACTGTTTAGTGAGGTATTCATTTGCTACCTTAAGGGGACCCGCTTCAGAATGAATTTTGCTATTCAATTGATGATAAAACCAATAAACAACTTAATCGCCTGATTTGGTACATCAATCATCCATAAAAACCCAATACTAACAGAGGAAGGTAAGCATATTTGATACGACTTTGGATTCTGGTAACTGCCATAATCATTATAATTTCCCTCTCATTCCACCATGTATCTGTAACTAACATAACATCCACATATTACTGGTTATCATTTTCCATTGTCTGTTTATGTAGTGAGGTTTTGGATCATTATTTAACTGAGCGACTTTAAGGTTTTATTTCCTTTTAAAAACCGATGAATGATAAATATACGATAAGTTTCATTCATAGCAGCCTTGTTAAACGAACAAAGAACTAGGTTTTTTTTATATCAATTGTTTTTTTTATATCAATTGATATATGAATAATATTAGGTTAGCTAATCAAATGAGTTTCCTCACGTGAATTGTACTGAAGTAATATAGAACTTAGGCCTTGAGATTCATATTAATCAGATAATGTCACTATCTGGCAAGAAACATAATCAAGAATCTCATTACAGCTTCATTTCCTTGTATCATGATAATAACTAGAAGTATATTGTATACCAAACCAGATACAATGTACCTCCTCCACGAATCCTCTCAGTGGGTCAGCTTCATCAGCAGCAGCTACGATCCCGTGCATAAACACAATTGGCTTGATACCTTCAGCATGAATAATTAACGTACAAAATATTGACACAAATAATAAAAACTGTGTCTCCATATTGAAAATCTGCTGTGTATAACGGTCACCTTATCGTACAATGTTTCTGACCCCAATACCAAAACCAGATAGTGACAAGAAGGTTCTGCTACCAATACCATTTTTGATATATAGGTCATTTTGTCATTCAAGACCATCCCACATGTAATTCTGACCGTATACACCGTGTGGGAATCTTGACGATTATAATTTTTATACTGTTGATAAATTGTTGCATTCATTAACTTAAACAACCAATTAACACATATTCATTCGTATTTGATATTTTAACTGGTAGATTAAAACATAGTTAGTCGTCCTTTCGTTTAACCTTGTTAGCTGTATTTTATAAATTGCCCGGTCATCATGAATTACAGATAAACGTATATCAGGAACACGTGATTTAGAAAATCATAACATCGATACAATTTTTCCCTGATATTCTGATTTAATTTTTTAAACACTGTATAAGTTAGGAATTTCGTTTGTAATTAGAGTAGTGTAAAGTTGATAAAGATATAGTTTGAAAAGCAAGATTTTAAAAACTTAATATCACGGCAACGACAGATTAAATGACATGTAATAATAGAATTGAAGAAATGAAGAAATCTTGTTAAAGTTTCTTTTCAGAGATTTATAAGTAGTAATGTCCAACAAAGTCATTAGTATACAAAGGGGAACAATCGTTATAATGGTGTGGTTGTCTTTCTTTCAATATGACGTCGATTTTACCAGAATTTGTCAGAACAGGTCATAAATTCTTTAACAAGTAAAATTAATTTTCAGCTCTTCTAACGATAGGTTGCCTTTGTCTAATAAAAGTTCCATCTCCTTCAGCATGAAATCGAGACAACTTCTTATCATTCACCAGTATCTACTTGACAGAAACGGCCTTTCTCCAGTCGGTATAGCCGATTTCATTTTTGTTTTTTATTTTTATTGTGAACTTTACTTTCTGTAGCACCACCCCTAACATCACTACTTATCTGCCACTGTTGTTTCTACATCCATGCCTAGGATATGAATAACACTCGGTTGCGTCCCTTCCCATTGTTACTCAAAGGGTTTTATCTTAGTAATGTGGCGTTGCTTGCAGCACTCAAGGACCAAATGATGTTCTCACTATTTTGCTTTTAGGGGATTCGGTATTTTGTCTGTTCATATTTTGCATTAATTTCCGAGTGATTCAGTTTGAATTACGTTTTTTCCTGTAAATGTTTACCATCGTAATCCCCTTTAGTTATGAAACATATCAAACAATCAATATACAGGAAACATCGATATCAGATCATACTGCTGATAACACAATATATAGGAAACATCGATATCAGATCATACTGCTGATAACACAATATATAGGAAACATCGATATCAGATCATACTGCTGATAACACAATATATAGGAAACATCGATATCAGATCATACTGGTAACACAATATATAGGAAACATCGATATCAGATCATACTGCTGATAACACAATATATAGGAAACATCGATCATACTGCTGATAACACAATATATAGGAAACATCATCACATACTGCTGATAACACAATATATAGGAAACATCGATATCAGATCATACTGCTGATAACACAATATATAGGAAACATCACAATATATAGATATCAGATCATACTGCTGATAACACAATATATAGGAAACATCGATATCAGATCATACTGGTGATAACACAATATATAGGAAACATCGATATCAGATCATACTGGTGATAACACAATATATAGGAAACATCGATATCAGATCATACTGCTGATAACACAATATATAGGAAACATCGATATCAGATCATACTGCTGATAACACAATATATAGGAAACATCGATATCAGATCATACTGGTGATAACACAATATACAGGAAACATCGATATCAGATCATACTGCTGATAACACAATATATAGGAAACATCGATATCAGATCATACTGCTGATAACACAATATATAGGAAACATCGATATCAGATCATACTGGTGATAACACAATATATAGGAAACATCGATATCAGATCATACTGCTGATAACACAATATATAGGAAACATCGATATCAGATCATACTGCTGATAACACAATATATAGGAAACATCGATATCAGATCATACTGGTGATAACACAATATATAGGAAACATCGATATCAGATCATACTGGTGATAACACAATATATAGGAAACATCGATATCAGATCATACTGGTGATAACACAATATATAGGAAACATCGATATCAGATCATACTGCTGATAACACAATATATAGGAAACATCGATATCAGATCATACTGCTGATAACACAATATACAGGAAACATCGATATCAGATCATACTGCCGTTTTTAGGAGATAGACATTCACATGCATATCTATCGGAATTTTACTAACAATTTGATCTCTTATTTCTATGTCTTTACCAATTTTTATAGTGTTGGAAACTCAATGAAAACTTTCACTAAGTCTGTAGAATTTTCTATCATTGGCTACAGACGGACTTCTCTGTTCGCTTGCGGTAAATTACATAAACATGCATTACTTTTCAATAAAGCGTTATCACAGATTATCCCTAATGAAGGGAAATTGTCCATTTTCTACGGAATGCATACACCCAGCAAGTATCTCAAGCTTCCTTTCCCTTTCCTCAATTTACCATTTGTTGCTTGAAAATAAATAAATTTTCCAGGAAAAACCAGTACATTGATAATTTCAAATTCTGTAATGACATTGGTCCGCTGGGAAATTGTTGCACAGACCCATATTTTTCTGTTATCAATATCCATTCGGAATATGAATTTTCACCCTTTGCATATTTGTACCTCTTTAAGCGACTATAAGGATTAGAACATGTCCTAAACACTATATTTTCTATGAGTATGTTACAAAACTAACACCTCCTCTTTATTACTCAAATTTGACACTTGAAGATTCGGATAGAAAAGAAACAACATGGTTGACAAGAACTTCACGTACATGAACATACATTGAATGCCAATGTTTATAAATGCAAAGAGAACTGTCGTACTCGTGACGAATTCATCTGAAAACTGCAAAGACGGCGTTTGATTTCAATGTTCACGTCTACATGTATGAGGTAAATGAGGTGGATAGAAAAAGTACCCCCCGAACCAAACTAACTGCTCTTCAGCGCTCGCTGTGACGTCATCATTGTAAACTCGCCCCTCATAGACATTGTCACTTCCAATTAGCAGTTAGAGAGTGACAACTGTATCTAAAACACGCGTGTCTTTTCACATTACAACGTAATTCATGGAAGTACCATATGACCTTGTCACGTGATCAGTCATGTGATCTGTTCAGCTTGTTTCCTAGTAAATCGGAAAAGTTTTCAGATATAAGCAGAGGTTAACAATGTTTCAACTTCGAAAATATTATCAACATACCGCAAAGCTGATTTCACATGCGCGTAGATCGCTTTATCTTAAGTTTATTTCATGAATCCACAAGACAAATAACCCGTTTTCAGAGTATGAAATCTTCAGTGATAGTTGTTTTAAACGAATCCTTTAAGATTCATTTGTACTATCCGTAAAATTCCATACATTAAGATACGACATCTTCTACACGAAACAAGAGATAATGACATAATTTCTCCCTGAACATCCTCAGATTTGCATAACTCTGTCTCGTGTCCCTCAAATTAATATACCTCCTCGACGAACCCTCTCAGTGGATCAACTTCCCCGGCTGTGGCTGTGATTCCATGCATGTAGAGTATAGGTCTAACGCTTTCGACATATCTAAGTTGTGTACAACACACTGTTATAAATAATAGTGACATGTGCCGTGTTGTCATGTTGTCCAGAAGGTGTGTGCAACGGTTGTCCTTATCTTCAGGCGATACTGACCCTAATTGTGAAATACCAAAACTGGATAACGATAAGAGGAAGCTCTCGTTTTCTCTTTTCTGTTTAAATATCACCGTTTAAAAAAAATCAATAGATGTATATTATATTTATTTCCTGCATTTTAATTCTTGCAGTATTGTATTAACATACTTGATTTCCCATTCCGTATTTTTTAAATACCTTAAAAGTCGTTCCTAAAATTTGCTTATTTCCCGAGTTAGTGTGGACAATTTCACTAAGCACGGCAAGTGGGATCACACATAAAATCAAGATCAACTTGTAGTAAAAAACAAAGAAGATTCGGATGCTTTCCAAACGTCCGTTTAGTGTTATAGCGAATACGGATAGACTGTAGCCAAACTTCGAAATTTCTACATTGAAACGCTGATAACAACCATTTCACCACAGATGACTTGACTCTCAATGCTTGAAGCAAATTACTGCAATAATCAGCACGTGTCTTTTATGACAGTATTGTCTTATTAGAAACTAACCGTCAGTAATTAATCAAAACGTTAATACCTAGATACAATATTGTTGATTATTCAAAAACGCTGATCCATTTTCATAAAGAAATATCGTTATTTGTAATTGACGTCATTTAATGAAAGTGATATTATAATCATACAAGTGATGATACATTTGCAATCAATTAACATCATTCAGCATGCTCCTTTAATCTAAAATTCTAAATAGAAAGTTTATTATTTCCCTTCTTAAGTGAGTAATATTTTATAAAAGAAAACTGACATATTCGGTTACGTGTATAATAAGACAGACAAAAGCTATTTTAAGCAATGTACAGATGTGATGGACACGGCAATGTCATACGAGTTACATTTTCCCTTCTTTTTTGTTTTTGTTTTGTTTTGTTTTTGTTTTTGTTTTTGTTTTTTTTTTTTATGAAAAATATCGTGTTTGCTTCATACGGGATATTATACAACCAAAAAATACGAAATCTGCAAAATTGTTATCAAGACAAGCAATGTTCTTATACACAGACAACGCACGTGTTCATTTTTGCGACAAATCACAATCGAGGTCGGGCTTGTTATAAGTATACACTTGCCTGTCCTTATACACAGACATCGCACGTGTCCATAATTACGACAAATCACAACCAAGATAGGAACTGTTGTGTATAGACACCTACCTGTTCTTATAGACAGACATCGCACATGCGCATGATTATGACCAATTACAATCAAGATAGGAGCTGTTATATGTTTTCACCCGCTTGTCCTTATAGACAGACATCGCACATGTTCATTAATGCGATAAATCACAACCAGGTAGGAACTGTTATAAGTATGCACGTGCCTGTCCTTATACACAGACATCGCACATGTGCATATGATTGTGACAAATCCCTTCACATTTATGTTACACTATTATACGAGTTTGAACTACCAACACTTTTTTTCAGTATCGACCGCCATTACATACCATGATAAGGACAGTAAACTCCGAAATCATATATTGATACACTACTACTGATTCCATAAATCATTATTTTTTTCATTTCATAGAAAAAATTCTATCGCAAACGTTTCATTCGTGATATGCATGACAAGTTCCTAATAAATAGCAAATATTAAATATTCATAGCAGTGCTCATAAAATGTATTGGCAGTGTAAACCATTAAATGATTCTGGAAAACGAGATCGCATGTCATGTAAGTCACAAGGATAGATCGATAAACTGATAAATGACATATATCAAAATACCAGTTATCAAGCAATAAAACAAAACAATAATGAAACAAAAGTGCAGAAATCAGCTATAAATTTTCTATAATTTCCTTGATATCCATCAAATCACGCGTTATAAATCATGTACGAGGCTAAAACAGAAGGACGATATAATAAAAACAGTACGCTATCAACAAGGTATTAAAATTCACAGACTCTGTGATATTGAAAACAAAAACAAAAAAAAAAAGGTTTGATGTTTAATGCTGAGATCACGATATCATCCCACACAAACAACGTTTGAACTACCTTTTAACAATGCCATAATTTCTACTTTTATCAAAGGTTGCGAGGTAAGATATTTATAAACAACTTACATTAAAATCAATATTTCACATAATAAAATGAAATCATTGAAAAAAAACATGTGGTGTAAGAGGACGATTAACAAGAATGTGTTTGCCACACTAAATGTAAAATTTCTCTCAAGACAGATTCCGGAAGGTGTGATTTTCCAAACCATGTATGATTTTAAGAGACAGGTCAGTCATTCTTCATGCTAAACACAGCATTTAAAAGTCTTATGTCGACCGTTACAACCTGTCAGAGTAGAAATTAGTTTCTGGGGAATTATTCTGTTGTCAATCAGTTGATTGTATAAGAAATAGTACCTAGAATTATATATGTATGTGTTCTCCTTCCATTTATAGTTAACATAACTCCAAGTTTCCAATATGGAAAATTAACAGAATTTCGACTCTCAAGAAAACGACTTAAAAGTCGTTAATGAAATTTGATACTGTAGTGACACAACATTTATAGATAATAGAACCCAGGACACATGTGCACGTGCATCTCAGTTCTTGTAGATCATGTAGCTACTGTCCATTTGAGAACTTGTATAATAATAAGACATGTAAACAATCGATAATTATAGTGTGGATCCACTGGACAAAATCAGAACCCAAAGGCAATGACTACAGGAAACATGGAAACATAAAAAAATAAATAACACGACATTCAAGCTTGAGCTAGCTGCTAGCGCTGCCTTGTTTGACACATACTAGCAAATCCTATTTAATAAACCTAGCGTTACATATACTGTATGGAAGACTTCTGGATTATAAAATGATTATAAAAAATTTATCGAATAAAGTTCATTGTGTGTGTTGTTTCCACCCCCTTCATTTATCATTCTGATCACTTTCAATAGTGGTAAAAGCCGTCATGTTAAATAGTGATATTGCGTCATTTAATTACTCCCTCGGGTGTCAACACGACAATAGGTTATCAAAAGATTTGACATTGCATTCAAAATAGAATGTATGGCATTCCATCGTCAAAGGAATAGGGTTTTGAAATTCATTTCGACAGTGTTTTTTTTTTTATTCGAGTCGGCAGAACTATTTTAATAAAACATTATCTGCATATTGATTTCAACACAACACAAATAGACAATGAACACACTAATGCTGTCTATTTTGCCGAGCTCTGTAGTTGTGTTTCATAACAGTTGTGGTTAAACGAATATCGTTCTATTTTTACATTTGAAATGTGAAATAAGATAAGAAAATAGATATAGCGGATAGAATATAGAAAAGACATTTACTTTGAATGTCAATCAATATATCGGACGGCCTAATTGATCCTCTATGGACCGTGTTGGTCGTTTCTCTGTTGTATGCATTTACATAGGTTTTAATAGAAAATCCGTTGTTTTAGTGGGAGTAACTCTCCAAGCTTTGTTACTCTGAAACTGTTCTGAACACAATACATCAATAGGCATTGGTAAATTTGATATTGTCATCGCAACACCCACGTTAACTTGCAATGAAATTGATGCTGTCAAAAAAAATGCCAATTTTATTTTGCAATGGACTTGATGTAGTCATCAGAACACCAAATTGAATTTGTAATTGACTTGGTGACGTCACCACAACACCCACTCTAATTCGTAATGGATTTGTCGACGTCACCACAACACCCACTTTAACTTGTAGTGGACTTGGTCCTCGTCCTGTTTGTTCGGAACTTCCAGAACCACACAGGTCACATTGGAAACATCACCTGGTCATACAAAACATGAGTAAGATATGTCTTATTTCAAAGACATTGATTGAATACCTAATGTAGACAAAAATAACTTTATATAAAGGTGTACAACATATAAGCGTCAGCTGGATTATGTCATATTTTCCAATACTCAATCACACACATAAAACATATAATTGAACACAAGGAATTTATATTTAAGTTATAAATAAGTTATAAGAAATAAAAATATATAACTGCATGAATTATTTTACATAATGTGTTAAGTGACATGTTAATAGATACCCTTTCTGAACCGGAAGTCCTCTTCCCACTCTCCTTTTGCGGTGTCAAAGCACTCCACCAGTCGTACCTGCTGTCCTGTTTCCAATACAGAACCTCCGAAAACGTACAGTTTGTGTCCTGCCAAGGAAAAATAAAAATAACAACCTTACGTACAATGTTCTACTGGTTTTCCTATTTAAAACCCAAGGGGGTCTTTAGGTAGTGGGGATTTCCACGAGATATAACTACTTTCATGTATTGCAATTATTGTACCGAAAACATGTTTTCTACAGATAAATTCTATCGAAAAAATATCACATTGTTAGAATTGCTAAATAATTACATCAAAACAACATCAATGTCCAAACACTTACTTGTAAATGATATTATTGTTAGTTTTCTGAAACCCATATAAAAACTGTATATGTTACTGGCCTACTTTCAGAATACAAAGCAAATGTTTTTGAAGAACATTGCCAAAATATAAACGACACCTCTCAAATTTGATATTTTAATTCGGTTTCTGAGTCGTCAATATGTTGATCACTTTAGCCATGCGTTGGACCTTTAACTATTGTTATTGCCAATTGTAAATAAAAAATATGTTTTCGCTGGAGGTTGAACTCCAAGCGGTGAGACACTTTCCTTAATATTGACATCAACACTTTCTTTTTAGAACTAAATTTTAAATCTGGTTTCAGAATTGACAAAAATAAAGTATACGTATATGAATCACTTTGTTTTCATAAGTTATCAAATCAAAGGAATACGCAAGCTTGTGATGTAATTTGTACTTAATTGTCAAGTATAATTAAAACAAAATGTTATAAAATTCTGATTAAAATCAGCTACATGTGCATCATTCGGTACCTACGATATTGGGGTTTTGATAATACTCACATTTAAGGATGTGCAGCGATATATAAAATGTAAATCACCAAACAAAACAGCTTCGTAAAACAACAATTTAATCTTTAATTTGATTTAATCTTAAGGTTGCAAGTGGTAGACACTGCTGGTGGACTTTAAGTCCCTGAGGTTTGCAGTAACCAGCTTGTCACGTTTTAATTCACTCGAATAGTGGCAATGTTCAGAAAATACCCATGTACTTGACGCTATTCTAAATTATTTGATGTATGGAAATTGCGAAATTTATTTAATTTGGGGGCTGCTGCACCTCCCTGTCAAAACTTGGACTTTTCTTTTGATCACTTTGGATTTTCCTTAGTCGCCTCCTAGGATTCAAATTCAAGCCCTTGGCATCAATGACGAGTCCTATAGGGACGAAACAGCTGTATGATGCAGTTTAAACCATTGTTTGGCTCTACTGTATCTCACTATAAATTATGAAAAGGTGTCATTCATTTGTGTGTCTTTTGTACAATCTTTTTGATCTCCGTGTATTACTCTCTCCTAGGGTAGTGACGCACTTGCCTTCCACCTAGCCGTCCGCGGTTCGATTCTCGGACCGGGACCTGCCCGTATTTTCCCCGGGTTCTCTTGTTTCCTCCCACAACATGACCTCTCGCATGCTTACATCCGGGCCAACAAGAATGATTAGTATAAGTTGAAATAACTTATTTCGCAATTGTTTTAAGATAAAGGTTATATTCATTTGCATCTACTAAATGTAGAAACCGGTAACAAATTCTTATCAATGGAGACACTCCGATGAATCTGAAAAAGCCACTCATTTAAGCATTTGCTTTTTAAAGTAAATCATGCGATGTAGCGCACATAATTTGACGAACCGGAAAATGACATGAAGCCAGGTTTATCTACTTCTCTTATAACGTATAAGACACATTCACAATCGCTGTCGCATTATCACAGCAGCAGATAGCAGGTCATACTCAGACAACTGGTCTAGTTTAAGTGGATACATTGTATGTGTTGTCGAGGCACCAATGAAAAACACAATTTCATCATTAGTATACAAATTACCAGGTGTTATACCTCGTTAGATCCAGGTTGTGCCGAACTCATGACGAAATTGCATTGTATTTTTATACATACCAATGACGGCTACACCTGCGCTGTGGCGGGCAAATGTCATTGTAGGCAGCTTGTTGCACCATGGGGACACGAGGCGAGATGACATGGCATCGCCTTGAGCCTCTTCTAAGGCAGAAACACTTGTGGCGTAGGAAAATATACGTCTCTCTGTCACAAACTTGAACCTTCCGGGAAAGTCTTTATCCTTTCGACACGACACACCTAAAATGATTATAGCACAATGTAAGAGATTGAGTGTTTCATCCATAAGGGAACGAACTTCTGTGTCAGATTCAATGAGAATAATTTTTTCCAAGCCATCGATAAAATATCTAGTGATGATAGACTTAACCGTGAAATTATTTTATGCGTATCGTTTATGGATGTATGGAACACAAACACCAAAAACTTTCGAAAATTTAACTTTTGATCTGATGATAATTAGATGCCAAAATATCATTTAAATCGAACAGCGGCGTCACATGCCGTCATAGAATAAAGTTTTAATATATATAAATATAAATATATAAAATATATTTGTAAGATACTATATCAAACTGCTAAAAATATATGGCATTACGCTTTTATTTATCTAATATTGAATTATGTCTCATTTCCTGTCAAACATGAGTTTCATACATCCTTAAAGGAAAAAGGGAACCAGAGTATGTTTTATTTACTAAACCCTTCTTATCAATCTATGTATAAATTGTAGGGTCTTGTGTTTATGGTTTGCTGACTAATTGTGGTATTATATTCCATTCATTGTTTGAAATACTCCCTATCATACTGTTTTGAAACAAAGAACATTTTTTTATTTATTTAACTACAGTGACGTGTTTCAGTGCGGAATGTCCAGATGAACCTAATGAAATATTCACTACGATATGGAATTAGTAGAATTACGTTGTACACAAAAGGCCACTACGCTACAGGGAGCTAGTAACCCTATATCACAAATTTACCTCCAATAAAGTAAAATGATCGCCCTTGTTTTACCATGGAGAATCGGTCCAAATTGACAGGTAATTTCTGGGGGTATTCCTTGTCGAGCTCCACCCATTTCTGTCCTTCATATACCCTGTAATAAACAACTAATTCAATACTATCCTTAAAAAATACAACAAATTGTACTTACTCATTTTTAGCTTCTACATATTGTTGGAGTTAACAAACAATTAGACTAATTAAGGGACAACAAGAATATGAAAGTATATATATGTTACATAACACAGGAAGAAACAAATTCGCTAAAACCATTAGATATACATCACATTTACCCCTGGAGGCTGTCATCAACCGTGTCCTTATGTGATATCAAAGGAAAAGGGCTGTGTTAATTCGATTGATTTCTCTCTAAAAAGGACTAGAATCCACATCGGAGTTCTTTGATAAATTGCAATATTCAGTTAGGTCTTGATTAGTCTGTAGTAAACGTATAAAATGTAGAGATCAATGGCATAGAAAATGTCAACACCTCGAACTCAATGTAGTAGTTGATCACCTTCTTATTTGAAATATTAAATGACAGATTTCAGACATTTCCATGTTTTTTTAATTTAATGGTATTCATTCTAAAGAGAAAAATGTGATTTACATGAAATGTATCGTACGCTATTGTTCGAATTTCAGTACAGAGAAAGGATGGAACAATTATCTGATATTGTCTCCAGTATAATGTTCACTTTAGGAATGGGCTATGACAAGACTGAATGCTGATGTGTACAAATGGTTCAAATAGACTGCTTCAGAATCCTGTATACATGGGCTTTCTCGATACAAAACGAGGGGAAATCAGTGGCATTTGTTTACCTTATTTTCAAAGGACAAATACCAGCCTTGCGGCTAGCCGAGTGTTTTACTTTAAAAACCGATCAGATTGTTTAATCCATCGCTTTTATCAAGACATATTCCAAGATTTACTTAATATCGAAAGCGAAAACCTTAAATTTTATAATTAGAGAAATAGGAATGGAGTGGATTGTTAACCGTTACATAAACAATTTAAAATGTTGTTATATAGCAACGGAATCAACAGGCAAACTAACGAGCATGAAACACATTCAGCTTCATATCGCACAAAGAAGTCTCCTAGTGTCGTTCTTTTTCTAGAATGTGCTGCATAATTGTTATTGGCTGACGTAGTGACATTTGACCTTTTGCTTAATTTGATACTGATTTTTTTGTTCTTGGCGCTGTGATATATCTAATACTTGCTTGCTAACACTATTGAACATTAGGTGTTTGTTCTTGTTCACTTCTTGACAGTTTGTTTTGGTTTGTTCATGGTGTGTTAGGTGTTGATATCTTAGTATATAAGTAAGTCTACTGATTATGTAGTACATACATCCCCATGTTTATTAATGTCGTACATTTAGGCCCTGTTGACAGATATTTTTATATCATAGACAAGACCTTGGAAATATAATTGTATTGTCTAATGGAAAACCTTGATAACTTGCATCGTTGATTACGTGTAGCTAATCAATATTTGATTATTAGATATGTAGACACCAAGTAATCCTGTTTTTATGTATGGAGGTTTACACGTTAAAAATATATCCCATATACAATACAAAGAGAACAATCAGACAGAAGTTGAACCCATATGAACAAAGAATAGAGACCACTGAAAACGAACAGGCAGAATAGGTTCAGGTGTTCTGGAAGAGAAAGCGCTCTTTTCTTTATTTACGACACCTGCTATGTAAATTTTGGTTCCGTAAACTAAGACAAGTTTCCAAATAAGGTAAATAACGGAATCCCAAAATACTGACAAGTATCACACACGCAGAATTTTATATCGCGCAACGACATTAGTATATTTCTCAAGATCTCAAGATCATTACGACAACCGTAAAACATCTCCAGGATCATAATAAACCTCTGTCTTTCGAACCTGTATTGTGAGTTTGTGTGTTTATGCCGACACCATGTGTAAATATCGTGATATCGGAAACATGCCCTAGAATATCGAATCATCTGCAACATTTTAACATCATGAATTTAGGATACAGCTATGTTGCTATCTAGAAATTGGCAATTTACATAGGGGCCTAAAATTATTACGCTTATCATACAGCTTCGTGGAAAGCTGTTCCTGTTTGTTTACTTCGAGAAAACCAAGTTGCTGTTAAGTGAAGAGATCAGGTACATATTAGTGCGGACCGTGTATGTGGTCCCGTTCGGTGGTTGCTCGCGTATAATGATGGAATCTGCTCTGACTAATTATAACGCCATCGGCAGCAGCATAACCGGATGTCACCCTGCTTTTGCTAGATTACCACACATACTTCGTCTCTCCATCACCCAGACCACGTCCAGGTACGTCAACTTGTAAGAATAAAACATGGCTGTCAAATCATCTTGTTTGGATTATGACTTCAAAAGATAAATAACAAAATAAGTAAAGTCATTGTTATAAACTACCTTTGTTTGTATTAAGTTCAACCTGGCGGTTAATTTCTCACAGAATTATCACTTAAGAGACAAGACTTTAAGTTGATATATATAAAGCGGTACTAGGAAAATTAGACAATGCTAATCACATGAGTCAATCAATCAGTCTCGCTAACCAGTGGACAACAAGTAGTTTATGGAGAAAATCTGGCTGTAGTAATTACAATAACAATATAGGTCACATGAGATAAAGAACACACAATGGGGCTGAAATTACATCGAGCAACACAGACATGGAACCTCGGTCAATTACTATAATAAATACGCAATTGATTTTGTGTTGAGATTGTTGCTATGCAAACCCAACACATTCACACATGTGGTATGACGTTTTAAGTAGAGGAGGATGTAGAGAGTATATAATCGGCAGCATGGCCGGTTATCATTCCGAGCACTACAAATGATGGATTGTGGATAGCATAGGACCTAAAGGTACATATGAGGAGAGGATAAACAGATAAAAATCCTACAATGTCAAGAAACAAAGCATATCTTTTCAGGATAGGCAGTGTCATGATCAATATATATAAACTTTGCAAGCTTTAATCTATCAATTATCAGAGTATCTCTTACACTGGTCTGTCCCCATACTGTTCTTTGGATATTTCTTACATCAGTCTGTCCCCATACTGTTCTTTGGGTATTTCTTACATCAGTCTGTCCCCATACTGTTCTTTGGATTTGGATATTTCTTACATCAGTCTGGCCCCATACTGGTCTTTGGATGTTTCTAGGATCAGTCTGGCCCCATACTGGTCTTTGGATGTTTCTTACATCAGTCTGTCCCCATACTGTTCTTTGGATATTTCTTACATCAGTCTGTCCCCATACTGTTCTTTGGGTATTTCTTACATCAGTCTGGCCCCATACTGGTCTTTGGATGTTTCTAGGATCAGTCTGGCCCCATACTGGTCTTTGGATGTTTCTTACATCAGTCTGTCCCCATACTGTTCTTTGGGTATACTTCTTTGGGTACTTACATCAGTCTGGCCCCATACTGGTCTTTGGATGTTTTCTTACATCAGTCTGGCCCCATACTGGTCTTTGGATGTTTCTTACATCAGTCTGGCCCCATACTGGTCTTTGGATGTTTCTTACATCAGTCTGGCCCCATACTGGTCTTTGGATGTTTCTTACATCAGTCTGGCCCCATACTGGTCTTTGGATGTTTCTTACATCAGTCTGGCCCCATACTGGTCTTTGGATGTTTCTTACATACTGGTCTTTGGAGTCTGGCCCCATACTGGTCTTTGGATGTTTCTTACATCAGTCTGGCCCCATACTGGTCTTTGGATGTTTCTTACATCAGTCTGGCCCCATACTGGTCTTTGGATATTTCTTACATCAGTCTGGCCCCATACTGTTATTTGGATATTTCTTACATCAGTCTGGCCCCATACTGGTCTTTGGATGTTTCTTACATCAGTCTGGCCCCATACTGGTCTTTGGATATTTCTTACATCAGTCTGGCCCCATACTGTTATTTGGATATTTCTTACATCAGTCTGGCCCCATACTGGTCTTTGGATGTTTCTAGGATCAGTCTGGCCCCATACTGGTCTTTGGATGTTTCTTACATCAGTCTGGCCCCATACTGGTCTTTGGATGTTTCTTACATCAGTCTGGCCCCATACTGTTATTTGGATATTTCTTACATCAGTCTGGCCCCATACTGGTCTTTGGATGTTTCTAGGATCAGTCTGGCCCCATACTGTTATTTGGATATTTCTTACATCAGTCTGGCCCCATACTGGTCTTTGGATGTTTCTTACATCAGTCTGGCCCCATACTGGTCTTTGGATGTTTCTTACATCAGTCTGGCCCCATACTGTTATTTGGATATTTCTTACATCAGTCTGGCCCCATACTGGTCTTTGGATGTTTCTAGGATCAGTCTGGCCCCATACTGGTCTTTGGATGTTATATGTTTCTTACATCAGTCTGGCCCCATACTGGTCTTTGGATACTTCTTACATCAGTCTGGCCCCATACTGGTCTTTGGATGTTTCTAGGATCAGTCTGGCCCCATACTGTTATTTGGATATTTCTTACATCAGTCTGGCCCCATACTGGTCTTTGGATGTTTCTAGGATCAGTCTGGCCCCATACTGGTCTTTGGATGTTTCTAGGATCAGTCTGGCCCCATACTGGTCTTTGGATGTTTCTTACATCAGTCTGGCCCCATACTGGTCTTTGGATATTTCTTACATCAGTCTGGCCCCATACTGGTCTTTGGATGTTTCTAGGATCAGTCTGGCCCCATACTGGTCTTTGGATGTTTCTAGGATCAGTCTGGCCCCATACTGGTCTTTGGATGTTTCTTACATCAGTCTGTCCCCATACTGGTCTTTGGATACTTCTTACATCAGTCTGGCCCCATACTGTTATTTGGATATTTCTTACATCAGTCTGGCCCCATACTGGTCTTTGGATGTTTCTTACATCAGTCTGGCCCCATACTGGTCTTTGGATGTTTCTTACATCAGTCTGGCCCCATACTGGTCTTTGGATGTTTCTAGGATCAGTCTGGCCCCATACTGGTCTTTGGATGTTTCTTACATCAGTCTGGCCCCATACTGGTCTTTGGATACTTCTTACATCAGACTGGCCCCATACTGTTAT